ACACACACACACACACACACACACACACACACACACACACACACACATATACACTGACACACACACAATTAAAGAAGCCTTTTCCCATAAAGTATACATGAATGGCTACCAAACCAGCAACCTGCGCCCACCCTTTCACTGGCATGGCAAGGTATGCAGTGGCCCCTGCATGTGTGTCTGTCTTGCATCTACCTGCTCCTTTTGGCCTAGTCAGATGGATGTAGATACAGATCCACATGTGTCTCTATACACACAGCACGGCATTTACATAGAGATGATAGTCTTTAGTGCTGTCCAGATACAGTACATACTGTGTTACTCAGTGGTCCATTTCATGTGAACTCTTACTATGACATAAACCATCTGTAATATCTTGCCAGCATATAAGGTGTTTAGTTTGTTAATTAAGTTGTATGTCTTATAACAAGCTTTGTAAAAGGGGAAAAAATTGTGAGTGAGCATTCTCAGATACTTGAAGATAATGTAGCATCCAAATTTGAGCTGATTAAAATGTTATCTGTATACCAGTTTGCAGAGAGGATATATGTGATGCCGTTTCATAGGGGAAATAATGTCATGGAGGTGTGAAAATGGACCAGTCTGGAAAGGTATGCAAGCATCATAGAGGGAAAGCAACCTAGAGAGAAGCCGAGGTCTCCCTCCCATAGCGGACAGGTCTGCCTCCCGGAGCATGAACCTCTCAACTAGGATTAGTGAGAGGACATTTTCTAGTGGTTAGTATCTACTGACTAATGTGTGTGTCAGAAAGCTCTTGCTGAATTGGAATCATCAGTGCATACGTGTTGGCAGCAACACTCTGTCCATGAAAAAAAAATTGGGGTCTTCTCTGTGGCACTTCATTGTAGGAATTTCACTATTGCCAGCACTGATCTTTTCTTAACTACTTCAGATCTTCTCTATTTGTTATCCATGAATGAGCCGTTGTCCATAACCAGTCAGTGATGTACCCAGCTGGGATTTCTATTTTTAACAGAAACAACAAATAACCCTTGTCCCTTTGAGAATGACAAATGAAGGTGAAATCTGAGAAATGTAGCATGACCCTCCAGGTATGTGTGTGACAACTCCCATAAAGATGTAAGGAATTCTCCTCTGAGATGTTTTGTAATTCCCCCACCTCCCCCTTTTTTCCGACAGTTTTTATAATCTTCACCTATTAACCTAATAATGAAAGGGACAGCTGGTTGTGAATTTTGGTCATAAGGATAAACTTGTCTGCAGTAACTTAGCGGAGAAGTTATGGCTGCAAAATAGTTATAGCAATACAAATCCCTTTTAAAAGCCATGTGTCAATGTTAAGCAACATCACCTTACATTAACTGTGTTTGTAAAAGTATTTAGAGGGACCCTGTAAAGTTTACTGAATGTCATGAAGGCAATAACAGTCAAGACTTCTTAGCAATAACAGGGACCAGTTACAGTCTTTCCTTTTTATTCACAGAGGTAAGGTAATCACCACAGTTACTCTGCACTTCAGCTATTGTGGTGCTCATTTGTGTGGTGATATTTCACTAGAGGAAGTTATAAACTCTTGGGATAACCAAAAGACAGCTTAGTTAGGGTGACTTCCAAAAACAATCATTTTAATACATGGAAAAACAATAGGAAATGAGAAAATCCACAAAACTGCCTTAAAAACAAATGGGGATAAAGAAGCTATCATTTTTTCTTAAGCAATAGTCAACAGGGGACTCCTTGCCCTTGAAATAACAACTGCCAATGGGGCCTGATGGTATTTAAGAATAAATGGCTAGGCTACAACCTTTCCTGCAGATTCAAAATGGTCTCAGAAGCTTCTGCTACTGTCATCCTGTGTTAGTATATCAAATATCCTGAGAGGTGCCCTCTCTTACATTTCGTCTACCCAACTTTACAATTTCCCCTTTTTTTTCTTTCCCCCTTCCTCCATCTCTCCTCCTTTTTGACCCATTTCCATGTTTAATACCCGAGACCTGCACATCCTGATTCTCTTACCTTGACTTTTCTTTCATAAGATCCAACGTGAAGACTGCAAGGAGCTTTGGGGAGGGGAAGTGAGTCTCCAGAGAGACCTCCATAGTCAATTCATAGTGGAGCACTCAGGGAAGTGCTAACTTTCTTTTCACAATATGGTCATCTCTCCTGAGAGAGCAAAAGTAATGATGGTTTTTTCACTCAGGTTAAAGCAAGGCAGAACAAGAGTCTGCTCTTTCCTCTGCTAGTGCTTCCCACACCCCCAAGGCTAATCAGGCTTCTCCTGCTTTGACCAGATCTGAAGTTGCTTGCCTCTAGACCTGTCTCCTCTGTGGAGACATGACAATGTAACCAGAGTTGAAGTGTTTATAAGACTGAAGACCCCTTTGGGTTACCCCTCCCCTTCAAGTTCCACTCATTAATTCAATGATGTGGCAGCAATGGAATTAAAGACCTTTTTTCTCCCCCAGTTGATCACCATTGCTTCCATCTATTTCAGTATCACCATTATGTAATTTATTATTATTCAGATATTTGTGAGATATCCAGATATTTGTGAGAAAAAGATACTCTATTTCGTACTTTACCAAATTCTCTCCTGCTTTACCTAAGAAACATCATTTCCCCTCTCCATATAGCCAAAAGGAAGCCGTTTATTCTTATTCTCGACACACTCATTGGTCCTAATGATATCAGACCACCTGAATGTATAAACCAGAGAAGAAAGTCATGGCTGTGCTGGAGGTCTAGCCTTGGAGCCTACAGCTGGCACAATGAAGAAAGAAACAGCCTTCTTCTAGTGCCTTTAGAGGAATCTGTTTCACTTTACCCCAGTATGAATTGGAGTCATACTTAGAGTATTGCCAATACTTCCTGGGAGGGAGAAAGGGATGTAGCATCACAGGGAAGAGTTAAATTTCCATGATTATCTGGCAAACCCACTACTTGAGTAACTTTTTGGGTATGTTATGCTCATGTGCTATGTGGAGCATTGTGGTAATATTTATGGGGTGAATCTTTGGCCTGGCATCATAATTTCCCATTGGAGAAAAATGAGCTCATGATATTTATTAACGCTGCGTCTTCAAGAATCTGATGATTGAATTTGTCAAGATATTCTTCATTGTGTGAACAGGACGTGGCCAGCTCCCATTAGGCAAAGAATGACCAGATGTAAACCAGGCTGTTTTTTTGAATATATAGCCCATTTTGTATGTTAGAAGTAGAGAAATGTTAGTTGGGGCTACGACTGTCACCTTTACATCTGATAAGTCAGAAAATGGCCCTGTGTATATGAAATGCATGTATTCTATTTTGGCCTGTCAGGAAAAAACTGGTTGTAAGTACTTTTATTTTATTTTGTGGGGCAACTTAAATATTAATTACAATAGCTGTATTATTTATACTAAACACATTAAGAACTGTGTTTTTTGACTGCTTAAAAAAACAAAAACAAAAAACAAATGGAAATTTAAATCTTAAAGGAGTTGAACTTTTTCATAGGAATGTTACTTGCTCTTTCTGAAAAGGACATTTTTCTTCACTCCAAGGACCAATTCAAATGGCACACACTAGTGGGGGCTTTTTTGTTCCAGTTGTGTGAGAAAAGAAAAACTGAAAAAAAGAAAACTTCCTACTCCACCCACTGTACTTTTTAGTTCTGGTAGCCCAATATTGTACCCTGATGTCATCCCACCAAGCAGATGAAATGCTTTCTGGAAGAGAAGATATTTACGATGTAAATAGCTGTATTGATTTTCTTTCCCATAATTAAAAATGTAAGACTATACTCTTCTTTTGGAGCCAACCCAGATCACTTGCAATTCTAAACTTGTTTGACCTGGATTCATTTCCTTGGCCAATCATGCTCAAATGGAAATCCTCGATTTACATGTAGAATACTGTATATTTAACCTGGGTATATGGGACTTATGGTCAGTATATCCTAATAGTAATGAAATTTTCACGTTGCCATGTCCATATTATTACAACAAGACCCAACTTGAACCTGCCTGTAATGCTATATGATTGGACTTAAAAGTACATCGATCATTATTGAGAACTCTCATGTAGTGGTGTTGGAGGAAAATATTTTAAACACATATTAATTTCTAAGTTCTAGATCAATGCTGGAAATGAGAGGGGGAGATATGCTCAGCATCATTGAAAGGTGTCAATTGTGAGAGCTTGTTACTGTTAGACAGCATGGGGAAAAGAGGAAATTCATGTTAATGAAGGATTTAACCTCTTTTTGAATTCTCTGTTTACTATTTTTAATACCTGTGGGCAGCACAGGAGGACCGTGTGGGACTTTGGTTTCTTCAACTCTTTGTATTCTGAGGTACAAGTCAGGAGGAATTTGCTTCCCGTGAAATCAAAACCAAAACCAAAAGCTTGCTGGACTTGCTTTGTGAAGATTTTGTCTTCTTTTCCTATATTTTTCATGTCACGCTATCTCTGAAACCGGTCGCTTTGTTTCACTTCGGCACCCAGTGCTGAACATTTGAATTGTGCCTGTCAAGGTTCCAGGAGAAGAATGAAGACTGAGGACAAGATGAATGAATGGCTTTGCAGGAGGAAAGGCCTTTAAGCATGTGAACGGACCTTAGAGAAACAGACGCCTTTCACTGTGGAGAGATAGTGATATTTAAAATTGACAGTTTTTTTTTTCCTTCTTAATGTAACCCAGGGTTCAACTGATTTCCTCAGCAGACAAAGGGATAAAGTGGATACCCAAATTGCATCATGGGAATGGTAGCCCCAGACAGACGGCTTCTCTTCCTGCCTTAAGGAAGGGGTAAGATTGTCGTTGTCTGAGCCAGGATGGGGGGCAACCTCTCAGGGACTTTTTGACTAGGCCAGCAGCAGAAGTTGAGGGGCCCTCAGGAAGGGGACAAGCAATGGAAGGGCCCGCTATGGCCAGAGCCGGCCCAAAGACCCCAGTGCT